CTGCCTCATCTGACCGCACGTCACTGGTCTGCTGTGTTTGAGAGGTAAAAGACCGGTTTCATGGAGCCCAGTGAAGCGCTGTGTAAATACTTTGAGCATATGTCACACAGCAGGGTTCCAAGTGTTTTAACTGCACACTATAGACAATACTGCACACTATAGACAACCCCCAGTGCATCAAAATAAACTTTTCTATTGGCATTCAAACACTGCCAATCGAATCATTCACAAGATTGTTTTATGATATTGAAATTCCTTTTATTTGTTAAAAAAGCAAGAACCATCCATTTTCTTCCCCTTAATCCATTTCTGGGTCGGGTGGGGTGACAGTCAGAGCTGCACCCAGTACACTTAGCACCAGCCCCTCACTGATCCACCTGCAGGTGGTGAGTCCAAAGGAGCTGAGATCTTTCAGTAAGGGCTTCAGGCAAAGTGAGGTTAAGTGTCTTGCCCAAGGACACAATGACAGCAGTCATCAGTGGGAGTCGTGAAGTAGGTCTTATGGTGGGCTCGAACCCACAACCTTCAGGCTCAAAGGCCAGTGCTTTACCAACTGAGCTACTTCATCCAAATTTTCCACTTTATTTGTTGCCAGGTCACAGTAGCGGCAGTCTCAGCAGAAACATCCAAACTTCCCTATCCACACAAACTACCTCCAACTAATCTTGGGAAATCCTTGGGTCTTTTACGGTGGTCTCCGAAACAGATGTCAACTGGCTCCTCTTGACGTGGAGAAGCCGGCGGCTCCACTCACTGCATGAAAAGTGTGATTTTCGTCTCTTTTCGGCCCTGTATATTACTGTGAAACTTCTGGGATTCGGCTGTTGACGGTAGTTTGTTGTCCCCTCCTCCCTCCTCCATAGGAGGCTTTAAAATGTAAAAGGGAATGCTGTGAGCTATACAAATGCAAATCAGGGTTGAGGGGGAGCACAATTTTGCTCCATGCTGCACAACTACTTTCAGTCAGTCTGCAGCATGGATCAGGTCAGCACACTGTAGACGCGGATTTTGTAAATGCTCAAACTGTTTACACACACACACACACACACACCATGGATCTATTGTAATAACGACACACACACACACATCAGATAAATATTTGATCATCATTAGCTTGTCATGTTTTGAGATTTCATAACACTTTTAAGCAACTTTTGTTAAAGTTAAACTCATCAATCTATCAATGTGCAGAAGCCAGTACTTTTCCCTTGTTTTGTCTATCTGAAGGCCAAGCTACAAGCACACCGTGGAAGCTGCTGATTGGAGGTCTCCATGCCTCCGCTCTGTATAATACACTTGCATTCTCTTGTATCTGTGATCGTGTGCTTTGATCGTGCTGTCTCTACCATCGACAATAAAACATGTCTTCTGTCTGAATTAAAGACGCGATCCCAGACATGTCATCTTCTTCAGGTGGTGGAAGGATGCGGGCCTTGTCTGTAACATCTAGAGAACAGAAGACTTTTTTTTTACACAAAAAAGTGTTTTTTTTTTTAAGCCAAAACTGAAAAACCTCAAGAGAATGCGTCTGGACCAGCACACATGGACTATCTACACAGCCCCTGATTCCAGTCAGGCTGTGAGCTGCTGAGACATGGACAACACCAGCGTCCTCTTTTGCATTTGGAACAATTGGATTTCTGAATTTGGACATAATTTGGAACAATTGGATTGCTGAATCTGGACACTAAAGCTGAAACGTGTGATTGAAAGACACGTCACAGAAGAATTCATGGCTCGACACAAATGCAGCCTGAAGAAATCAACACAGAGAAGTGGGAGAGACTGTTTTCAAAGCAATATCTGGAACCACCATCGACTGATGAAGTTTGGTATTTTACTGAAGATTGTTGACAAGTTTTATGAAAGATCTGAACATGTTTTATGAGTTTTCTGAGTTTTTGAAGTATTCCGAGTTCTGAGTTTTTTGAAGTACCGAGTTTATGAGTTTTTGAAGTATTGAGATATGATGTTATGTTGCTGTTTATCGATCCTGATGGTCACACGTGAATGTATGACCAGAGGGGGGAATTTGAGATTTCATAACACTTTTAAGCAACTTTTGTTAAAGTTAAACTCATCAATCTATCAATGTGCAGAAGCCAGTACTTTTCCCTTGTTTTGTCTATCTGAAGGCCAAGCTACAAGCACACCGTGGAAGCTGCTGATTGGAGGTCTCCATGCCTCCGCTCTGTATAATACACTTGCATTCTCTTGTATCTGTGATCGTGTGCTTTGATCGTGCTGTCTCTACCATCGACAATAAAACATGTCTTCTGTCTGAATTAAAGACGCGATCCCAGACATGTCATCTTCTTCAATGTCAAAATCAATTAAATAAATCCAATAGGACAAAAGACATGTTGAAAGTGTTAGTGCTCATCAAAGGATATATGTATGTACAGTACAGAACAAAAGTTTGGATTTTTTATTTTTATTCATGACTATGAACAGTGTAGATTCACACTGAAGGCATCAAAACTGAATTATGTTCATACCTAAAAGAAAAAGTATGAACCAACTGAAAATATGTGTTCTATTTTCGGTTCAAATATATATATATATATATATATATATATATATATATATAATATATATATATATATATATATATATATATATATTGTATATATACAAACGGTTGTTGGTGTTATCATCACTCTCTTTACACAACCAAAACTTGGGGACTTCACAAACTGAATGCGCATTTCGCGCATGCGCAAAACGCAACAAAATACTTGCCTGAAGTCGACGGTCTCGTGGAACGTGAAGAGAAGACTCTTTTGAATGTACGGTAAGTGTTAAGACACGTTGTTCATTGTTATAAAGGTATAAAGCTAAATAAGTGTGTTAAGAACGTGTACACATCCGACTATATTATCTTATAAAACTCGTGTGGTCGACCAACTCAGCGGTGAATGCAGTGACTGTGGCCGTGTTCAGAGATGGTCTCCCGGAGGCCTGAGAGCGCTCTGTTCGGCCTCCGGGAGTTTACTGAGGACAGCGGTGAATGTAGCTGTTAGTAGCTAACTGTAGCCGTGTTCAGAGTCTATGGTAGAGCCATATTCCCGGCCCTAACTACGCGGGCCGCCGCCGCAAGGAAGCTCCGCTGTGATTGCTCCGTGTGTGATAACTTTCTGTGAAGCATGGAGCTGCAGGAGCATGGACGAGGCGCTCAGAGCAGACTGCTTCAAAAGAACCGAAGGAAAAGCAGTTTGGGCTCATGGCAGAGCCTGATGTACGTGGAGACTGTGGATTAGAGTTCTGTGGAATATCTAACATATATCATTTGTTTTGCACTGTTCCTGTCTTTGTTTGAGCGCCAAGACTTTCACTTTTCATCTCATTTGTCACTTTTGTCTTTCTGTTTTGTTTTGTTTATTAAGTCCATTGCTTAATAATGTTATTGAGTGAATCTAGACCTCCTTTAAACATATTTGAGCAAAATTCATGTGATATTGTTTTATATATATTGATTTTTTTTTTTTTGCTTACAGTGTGTTGCAGTCCAAAAACAAGAAATGGTCAATTCTGCTCCACCTGTGGAAAATGTCAAAGCGCGCTGGCCAGCACTTTATACAGAGAGACAGGTGTGTACACATTTTTTACATCTATGCATTTAACTTTAAGTGTTTTATGGGTTTTTTTGCAGGTCCTGGCAGAATTTAACCAGATCACCAGCTCCAAACTGGGCAATGATTGCGTTGAAGCATTGGATTGCCTAACGACACAGTTCATCAAGCTCTTTAAGGCCAAAAGGGGGACTGCTGGTGCTAAGCTTTCCAAGATTGTCCGGCACCTCGATTCCTGTGTAAGTTCATAAAGCAATAACAAAAAGAAATGACATATGATTGTGTTTGGTGTTGTAATGCACATATGTACAGCAGAGGAGATGGGGAAAGGAGAAAGGTAAGTACATCCACCTCCATTTGTCTTGTCTGTCAGTACAATGTTTTACTCCTATGTACAATTATGAAAGAGACACAACAAGCAGTGACACTTGTAGGTGATAACTTACTCAGTACTGCTTTAACAACCTTAACCTCCACCTGAAAAAGCAATTCAAATAATACAGGGAAAACAGTACAAGAAAGAATGTGACAAAAATTAAACTAGAACTTGAAGCTGTTATATCTGCTGTAACCTTTTGGCTAAAGCAAGCAATCAATCAATCCTTTATTATCTCACACAGATGGAGAAATTCAGTTCGATGAATAAACATCAAGGCTGGCCGCGTACTCTAATTTTCCGCGCTCCTTATGACAGTTATTCAACAGCAGAGAGCAAAACAGACACATATTTCAACAAACATGGGAGAGACACGGTACATGTGGAAAACATGCGGATCTTTTTAATGGGAAGTCATCACTTTGGCCAGCCTCGTCCAATATAGCGCGTCAGAGGGGAAATGCACTTTGTTAAGGCGGGTTTATTCTGTCCAGTAGTGTGAATGACACGTAATATATTAAAGGACCGTGACGTCGCCTGGTCACAACACACTTGAAGGTAACTCTTCATTTCTCAATATAATTAGTTAACTAGAGTTTGTGAATAAAGTGGCACTAGCTGTGGGGGAAAAAAAATAAAAAAAATCCACTCTCAGCCCAAAAAGTCAAACAAGGACTCACAGGGCTCTTAAGTCTGCAAAATAATCATAAAAAATGGCCTGTTGCGTGTTTTATTTGTTCACAACATTTTACTTTTGTGCACAAATAACATGCATTGTTAATGCATGGAGGAAAAAGGTGGGTATCTGAGCTTTAAATTCAGGAGTTCTGCTTGTGCTTCAGGAGGAGACATGGGAGAGACACATTTATTTCACATTCAAAATCATGAAATGACAAAGTATTATAAGTAATGGATCATATTTAGATGTTTTATTTTTTTTACAGATCTTTCTCAAATGGAAATGGACACCATCACTTTCAATTGACCTCAACCCATAGTCTCCTCCTAAAGGAGAATCCTCTGTGGCAGTCACAAGGAGATCCAATAAGGACATGTGTGAGAAGGACACAGCAAAAGAGGTACTGCTGCATTTTGTATCATAAGACTTTTGGTACAATTGTCATTTTATATTTTTCACGTGTTTGTAGATGGTGGAACTGCAGGAAAACCCTGGTGACCGAGAGATCCTTAAAGATTATAATTCTGTGAGATCACTAAGTCACCGCTCTCGAAGACAACTTGTCAACCTTCTCGTCAGTGACATGAGTGAAACACATGGGTATGTTGTATCAGTTAATACTCAAAGGTTCCTTTTACAAGTGGAAGGATATTTACTCAAAATAAAATGAAAATCACTTGAAAGACCTTTCACAATAATCACGTAACAATTCAGTTTCTCTCAGCACTGTTATTGATTCCCCATTGTAAGATAAATTGTACTTATCTCTTTTATAAATGACCTAGGTAGATGTTCTGTAGATTATCTCTTGGTTAGGTCCCCGTGAAAATATGTACTTGTAGATACTATTAATTTAGCCTTTTTAATGTAACCATGAAGTCCCTTGACCATGAGTGTTTTTCTTTCCTTAGACCAGCCATTCCCAAACTCAGTAACACCGAGGCCCCCTTAAAAATCTGACGGGTCTGCGTGGCCCCCCAAAATAATAACCAAGAAGACAACATTAAGAATAGGCTCTTCTGGTTATTTTATTTTGGGGAAATAGCCTCTGCTACAAACATTGTAATACAAAAATGATTACAGTGGATTATTCAAGTCAAATAATGAACACAAATATTTTAATATTACAAACAAAACATTATAAATTTAACATTAAATAATTATATTTTTTTTTTATTTTTTTTATGACCTCCCGCGGCCCCCCTGCAGTACCCTCGCGGCCCACCAGGGGGCCGCGGACCCCACTTTGGGAGACACTGCCTTAGACAAATGCCTCCCGAAAACAAAAAGAAAGCTATGCTCTTGGAATTATCACACTTTTTTCTTCATTGAAGGATCCATTTTCTCAAAAAGGTTATGTAAGTATTGTTAATGTATCCATGGAAATTGAATTTGGTTTATCTACACATGTTTTGTGTCGGTAATGGATATGTATAGATACCAATCATAACTGTACACTTTGTTTTCAGACTAATCTCTCCTCGTAATGAGACGGTGACCTCCTATTTGCTTAACACAAAATCTGCAAGTCCACATTTCCACCATGTTGATAAAGACGACATTGTGTGTAAGTGTTTTACTGTTTCTCCCTTGTTTGACGTTACTGTGATTTTTATTCATACCACTCTTTTGATTGTTTTCTAGCGGCCTGTAGGACTTATTATGAGAAGGTTCGCAGGAGCCATCAAAATGCCAAGCCAGAAAACGTATTGAGGGCGGACGTTGCGAAGAGTTCAGCTCAGAGTCGAGCGAGAAGAAAGAGGGTAAGACTAAACTGCATCGCACAGTAAGGCAAGGGAGGTTTATTTGTGTAGCACAATTCATACACAAGGAAACTCAAAGTGCTAAAGTGACAGCTCCTCTCTGACAATGTTTAAAACCAGGTTAAAAACTGTTTGGTTTAGCTGTGCTACAACTGAGGGATTTTATATTTATCTTTGTTAATGTACTGTGATTATTTATTTTAATGCTTTCTTATTTTGCTCAGCACTTCGAGTTGCCTTGTGTATGAATTGTGCTAGACAAATAAACTTGCCTTGCCATCGTACTTCCTGGTTCTGGTCAGGACTTGAGCTGCTGCATTTTGAATGTACTACAGCTGTTGTTGCAGTAGTCTAACCTACTGGAGACAAATGCATGGATAAGAATCTCCAGGTCTGCTTTAGACACTATGTTTTTATCCTGGCAATGTTTAGATGGGAAAAAAGGATTTGATTTGGCTAATAATATTTACTGATTCTTTCAGCTGCTGGAAGTGAGACTGAGTGTGCTAGAAAGTGACAAAGTGGAACTCTGGAAGTCCGCCACGGTTGACCTAATGTCCAATGAAAAAGAAGGCGTTGTGGACGGTGTCTCTGGGTGGATTGTGCAGTCGCCGTCTTTTCGAAAGCCGGAGTTTTCTGAACTCTGTCAAGCTGCAGTCCCGGTTAGAGGCGGCGCGGAAGTACAGAGACACGCACATTAAGCGTCTATCTAGAACGCTGCCAAATTACAACCCCGAGGAGGCGATTGGACAGTTCAGAGTTGTAATTTTTTAATTACCTATGTGTGGGCATAAAGCTGTGTGTGTTTTAATAAAGCTTTCTTTGTATGAACATATTCCTGGAAAATTTTCATTTCCTCTATAAACAATATGAATAAATATATATTTATATAAATATTATTACATTAATTATGAGGCAGGGTGACCAATAGTGACAGATCTGCCAGCCAATCACGAGAGATTATAGTTATTTGAAAGTAGTGATTTCATCCAATGGGGAGTAAGCTACCAATGGGGAGTAATCCCACGTGGGCTGGCCACGTGTGATTTTTCAGCCAATCACGAGTTTGAAAGTAGTGGTATCTGCCAATGCTGAATAGTATTCTGAAGCAGCCTGGCCAGCCGCTGCATTCATATACTAATTAGGGCCATTAGCGCTCGGCCGGCCGCAGTGTTTCGCTGCATTCATATGCAAAGTAGGGACATTAGCATGGTATGGATGCGGCACAAACCACAATGGTCTGATACAGCAACCGCATCACTGCACACGCTGCACCAATCAACCTGTCAATCGCACGTTCCATCTTTCCCTCACTCGTGAACAAGACCCCGAGAACTCCTTCACTTGAGGAAGGACATCTCTACCTGGAAAGGGCAAGGAACCTTTTTCCTGTTTAGCACCATGGCCTTGGATTTGGAGATCTGCTGAAAACCGCCCCAGATAAACCCAAGTTAGTGAAAGGTATAGGTGAAGAAATGTATGTGCAATCTACCCATTTCTTACAGACAATATGTATGAATTGAGTGGTAGTCAGTGCTGCCTCCCAATTCACATAGGAGCAGCAAAGTGGGGTCAAGTGTCTTGCCCAAGGACACAAAAACACTGTAGGGAGTAGGTGGAGAAGGTCTCCTGGGGGGGATCAAACCCACAAACTTCAGGCCAAAAGGCCAATGCTCTACCGACGGACCACTGTCGTCCTCACAAAGGCAAACATAATAGTACAATTATTTTCAAAATTATAAGTGAAATTGGGCTAAAAATTGCCTGTCTATGTGAATCGCAAAGGAAAAAAAGAAATCTCAAACATTAATAATTAGTACATTTTAAGGGACAGCATGAATAAAGCTCTGGAGTGCCTGCATACCTTGCTCCTGAAGCTCTTGTTACTGGCGAACCTGCTCAGACAGCTGCCTGCAGCCTTGCACACTTTATGGTGAGGGTCCGTCAGCAGAGAACCTAGTGTGTGGAGGGTCTGTCTGAGGGGTAGCAGCTCACGCAAGTGTCTCTGCTTCAGTCTACTCAAAGCCTTTCTCCTCTTTGGCCCCCGCAGAGACCACAGGATGCACTCTGTAAAAGACAGACACTGCTCTGAAATTCCACGAGCCACTGCTACTATGATGTGCCCTCTGACCACCACCAGCCATTCGCACGCATCCATCCCCCACACACACACGCACGCACGCACACACGCGCACACACACACACACAAAATCTTGCAGCACACCATCCATACATTTTCTTCCCCTTAATCCATTTCTGGGTTGGCGGAGTATACATAGCACCAGCCCCTCACTGATCCTCCTGTGAGTCCACAGGAGTGGGAGCCCGAACCCACGACCTTCAGGCCCAAAAGGCCAATGCTCTACCAACTGAGCCACTGTCGCCTGAGGGAATCTCAGGCGCAGAGTGTATTATGACCGCTTCAGCGATCTTGCCCTTTTCGGTCACTACCCAAAGCTCATGACCATAGGTGAGGGAGGGAATGAAGATTGACCTGTATATCGAGTGCTTTGCCTTTTCAGGTCAACCCCCTCTTCACCACAACAGCCCGATACAGCGACCGCATCATTGCCCACGCTGCACAGATCCGCCTGTCAATCTCACGCTCCATCCTTCCCTCACTCGTGAGCAAGACCCCAAGATACTTTAACTCCTCCACTTGAGGAAGGACCACTCCACCCACCTGGAGAGAGAGCAAGGCACCTTTTTCCGGTGAAGCACCATGGCTGATTCTCATCCCAGCCGCTTCACACTCGGCTGCAAACCGTCCCAGTGCATGTTGCAGGTCCTGGTTCATTGGAGCCAACAGGACAATATTGTCCGCAAACAGTAGAGATGAAAACCTTTGGTCTCAGAACCAGACCGCCTCCGGCCCCTGGCTGCGCCTAGAAATTCTGTCCATAAAGACAGTGAACAGTGAACATCAGGCTGAGGAGTGGGATTCCACGATAATTGGAACACATTATCGTGGAATCTCTCTGTAGAGAGGGACCACCACCCCGGTCTTCCACTCCAATGGTACCGCCCCGATTGCCACACGATGTTGCAGAGACGTATCTACCAAGACAGTCCTACAACAACCAGAGACTATAGATATAGATAGCCAGGACGGATCTCATCCATCCAGCCTTGCCACCAAGGATGCTGCCAACCACCTTGGTGAACTCAGCCAGAGAGATGGAAGTCTGCCCTAACATCCACAGCCTCTGCCTCTGAGGCTGAGACAGTCAAGGTCAGCAGCTCTCCACCCGCATCGTACACAGTGTTGGCAGAGCACTGCTTCCCCTTTCTGAGGCGCCGGACGGTTTTCCAGAATCTCTTTGAGGCCGACCGATAGTCATGCTCCATGAACTCTCCGAACTCCTCCTAGTCTTGGGTTTTTGCCTCTGTAACAGACTAGGCTGTGCTATGCTTGGCCTGCTGGTACTGGACAGCTGCCTCAGGACTGACGGCATCCCTTACTACCGGTGTCCACCACCGGGTTTGGGGGTTGCCGCCGGTACCAGCCCCAGAGACTTTGCGACCACAGCTACGAGCCACTGTCCTGGTGCCATGTGCACTGGTGGACACCCTTGTGCTCAAACATGGTGTTTGTGATGGACAAACTGTGACTAGCACAGAAGTCCAACAAATTAAACTGCTCGGGTTCAGATCATGGGGACCGTTCTTTCCAATCACTCCTCTCCAAGTGTCAATGGCAATTCCCACATGGGCGTTGAAGTCCCCCAAGAGAACAATAGAGTCCCCGGTCGGTGCACCATCCAGTGCCCCTCCCAAGGACTCCAAGCAGACAGAGTACTCTGCACTGCTGCTAGGCCCGTAGGCCGTTTCAACAGTGAGAGACTTGTTCCCCACCCGAAGGCAGAGGGACGCAACCCTCTCATTCACCGGGGAAAACTCCAAGACGTGGCGGCTGAGATGGGGGGCAATGAGTATGGCCACCCCCGCTCGCCGCTTCTCCTCGCGAGAAACGCGCGAGAAATGAAGCATCCAACCCCTCTCAAGGAGTTGAAATCCAGAGCTCAAGCTGTGTGTGGCGGTGAGGCCGACTATAATTAGTCGGTATTGCTCAACCTCCCCCACGAGCTGGGGCTCCTTCCCCCCCAGTGAGGTGACGTTCCACGTCCCAACAGCCAGATGTTGTGTGTGTGAACCAGATCGCCGAGGCCTCTGCCTTCGACCGCTGCCCAGTCCTCTCAGCACTGATGCCCCATCTATCTGCGCAGGCGCTGGAGGAGCTGGCTGCCCGTCGCGTTGCGCTCTTCAGCGTCAACCTTCTTTCTCTCTTTATAGCTGTTTTTATTTTTATTTTGTAAATATCGTTTTTATATACATTTTCTGAAATTTCTCCACTGTGAGACTAATAAATGTTTATCTTATCTTATCTTATCCCTCTGCGGGTGGTGGGCCCACAGGAGGGCTGGCCCAAGTAGTCCTTTCGGGCTGAGCCCAGCCACCAGACACTCGCTTTCGAGCCCCAACACCAGTCCTGGCTCCAGCGTGGGGCCCCGGCTGTGCCATACCGGGCAACGTCACAGTTTCTCTTTAGTATGCAATAAAAATGGATTGTGTTCTGTTTGATTTGTTCACAACATTTTACTTTTGTGCATTGTTAATGCATGCAGAAAATGTAGGTATCCGAGCTTTCATTTTGGGAGTTTTGGTTGCGCTTCGGGAGGAGATATGGGAGAGACACGGGAGAAAAACAGGAGAGACACGGGAGAGACACTGTCCTGGTTCTCTCCATGCGTCTATGGTTTGCGCTCTGTACCACGTTACGGATTTCAGTACAAAGCAGCCACAGCTGCCCCGTGGTCAGAGAGCAGGATGTGAATCCTGTTCAGAAAGGGCATAATTCCTTCTCAAAAACGCACTTTCACTTCTCACTCACCACAATGCTCCCCACAACCTGTTACATCTGGTGGTCACCTCCAATTCTGACGTTTCTCACCACGATGCTCCCCGCTACCTGTTACATCCGGTGGTTACGTCCAATTCTTACGTTTTAAAGTAATAAGCTATCTGCTGCCACCTGCTGAAATGAAAAAGTATTATGTGGTCACTCCACAAGTTAACACTCGCAAACGGCGGATGCATTTATTTTTTGACAAAGTAGGCGAATTTCCCGCGGTACACTAGGCACAGTGGTTGAAAAACACTGTTCTAGGCAATGTGGATTAAGTGTCCTGCATAGGGACACAATGAAATGTTGGCACTTAACAGCCGCAGCCGCCCCACTGTGGCACCTGGTGTTCCCAGAGGTCACCCATCACAGTACTAACCAGGCCCGGCCTTGCACAGATTCAGAGGTTTGACAGGAATTGGCTTTTGCAAGCAAGTATGGCTATGAGTAAGGCTTAATGAGTCTTACTACTGCAGCCTTTAAAGCAGGAGTGTTATGTTCAACCCGCCAATAGGCCGTGAACTGCAATCATATAGGCTAAGATATGCAATATTGTTCTAACGACAAAGAAAAATAAAGAACACGCTGTGCAGTGAATGCACTGTGCGTATATGGCACCTTGTATATTTGTTTCTTCCAGCACTTCCATGGAAGTGATAAACCCCCTCAGCTCTGGTGCTGCCACTGAGTGTAAGAGAGGCCAATCTGATAATAAACCTTGGGGATTCATGGAGACTTGCAGCAGTGTAAATTATACCATAAATATATAAAACCATACAAAGATCTATGTATGAATTACGTGAATAAATAACACAGAGGAACTTCCTAAAATAGAATCAGTCAGTGAGATTTTACAGAGTGATATTTATACTGCTCATACCTTCTTTGGAGAGCTGTGAGATGTGCTCCCCCAGGTCGGTAACACCCCAGCGCTGCATGTAGAGGGTTAGCTGGAAGAGCGTTAGCCTGTGTTTGCTGGTCAACAACCAGGGACTGGGGACAGCCCTGCACACTGACCCCACCTGCTGGAGTAGCTGGTCAAAGACTGGGAGACAGAAATGGATTTTTCTTAACTTCATTCTTCACATTTTTTTTTTAACACATTGCAGCCACACTTTACTGCAACTGACAGATTCATACAGAACTGGACATACTAACTACAATTTACTTTTTTGAGGTTTAAACAATGTTACAATATTGTTATTGTTTAGTCTACACACTTTTTCAGAACTTATTTTTTAACAGATTTCTAAAAATTAGTATCAACATACTTTCAATTATTCCAGTGAATCGTTCCAAATGGTAAAGAGGCCATATGCACTACGCACTCTTAGTGGTCTAATTACTATAAAAAAGATTTTTTGGCCAGAATCTTCCCGTCTGTAACACATGTAGCTCCTCAAGCAATAATTACAGATGCAATCCACCAGTTGGAGTTTAGCAAGAAACAGTACTGTGTATTTCACATAACTACTATTTGTTGTATCTACTTTAATTCAAACAAATGTGTGGTGCTTGTTTGTGAATGTTGCTATACAGTATATATACACACATATATTTATACGTATGTATATATTGCCAGTTTGTATGTATGTATATATATATATATATATATATATATATATATATAAATATATTAGGGCTGTCAAAATTATAGCGTTAATGCACGTTAATTACATTTTGCATTAATCGCGTAAAAAAATCAAATAAAGTGTTTAACGCATGACCCGCCCATGTATCCCACAGTATCACTCAGAATGAGTGATACTGCGGCTGCGGCTGAGTCTCACATCTCACACATGCGTGTGTGAGATGGTGACAGAGCAGGTCTCTGGGAATTCAAGTTTTAAAAGAATACGTGCGTGACCGCGAGGCACTTGCCCTTGTTTCCTATGAGCTGAAGTCCGCATCCTCTGTGGCCGCTGCGGCTGCTCTGGACAGAGGTTCCCACCTCCAGCGGCTGTGAGTCGTTAACAACAAATGGTGGCGTGGTAACGTGATCCAAGACTATACGCGCATAAAACTATTCTCTGCATGTTGTGTGCGTGTCTTTGCGTAACCTGTACACCAATGAAGTTGAACTATGGAGCCTCAGGAAGTGTCCGTGTCTCCTCCTGAAACGCAGCTTAACTTGCTAAATTAAAGCTGGGGTTCATTAACAGCTCATGTTGGCTGTGCCCAAAAGTAAAAGGCTGTGAGCAAATCAAACAGATACATTTGGTATGAATGACAATGTGTCATTACATTTGATAATCTCATTTAACTTAAATTGGAGTGGATTTGAAATAGAATGTTAAAAATGCAATCAATCGTGAGTTAACTCACCATTAGTATGCGATTAATCAACTAAAAAAATGTAATCGTTTGACAGCCCTAATATGAGAGCTTCATTCTGCTCTCTGATTGGATAATCTGCACACAAATATTGAGGACATCATGTTTCTTGCATTTTTGATTAAGAATACCTTTGGTTCAGAAAAGGTCAAGTATGATCTGTACATGACGTGTTTTGTAAGTAAAGCTTCTCACAAATGTTAAGTGGACCAATAATACTGACTGGAAAGCGTACCTCTCTCTGATTGGCCGGGCTGTTTGGCATTCACCTTGTGCATGTATCGTTTACGCAGACACCGGGAGAAGCTGTTGACATGGCAACAGAAGGGAGCAGACGTGGCATCATCTGCGCAGTCGTCCCAGAACTGCAGCAGGTCCCGGGTTCTCTGAGCTTTTGGCAGAACTGGAGGTGAGGTGCACACAAATAAACACATATATCTTCTCCGTGTTGAAGAATAGGCAAAGGGACCCAAAAACTCACTATCTTTCATTGAGATCTGGTCGTTCTTTTGCAGCAGCAGAGAGCTGATTTTGTCCAGGGCCTCAGTTTGAAGTGACACCTCGTCCAAAAGGTCCTGCCTAGAGGGGGCGCTGTCTGTCAGCTGCAATACCTGCACCAAAACCAGTGTTGTTGTAGCGTGACTTGTAGCGAGTTACACTTCCATGCAGTGTTCATTGATGGAATCTCTTTTTTCGTTTTAGATTATGGCCAGTTTACAGATGGAAACTCGCCTTCCTGGTAAATCTACCCTATTTACATGGAAACATGTTGATTAATGTGTACTGGAGTTTAAATTAGGGTAAGTTTGTTGTCTTTTACAATGTGTTTGAATTTGTTGACTGTTGATTTTAAATGTCAATGGAATTTGGTTTATATTTTGTATGAACTTTGCTATATCCATCCATCCATTTTCTTCCGCTTAATCTGTTGCCGGGTCGCGGGGACAGCAGTCTAAGCAGAGACGCCCAGACTTCCCTATCCACACACACTTTCTCCAGCTTGTCCGGCTGGACTCCACCGGCCGCGTTTATATGCGTAGGCTGCTGCCCGTCAGACGTGCATAAAACAGACGTGTCTCGTCCGTAAACTCTTCTGTTTTGCAAGCTGGAGCCGGTTGCATCCGATTTCTAAAATCCACCCTCTTACACTTCACCTCTCTTTCTTATCATTCCTATAGTCATTGAAAAATTACCCTAAATGCATTTTAAATTATCTTAAAATGTGTTATATGCATGTTAGCCAAACCTGTTGCTGTCCTTAGCAGATAAACCAGGAAGAGAAAGGAGCTTATCGATGGAATTGTATGCAGCCGACTTCTGCGCTCACATGCGCTCCTCTGAGGCTGACCTCACGGTGATACAAGCCGTGGTTGAGCGCGATTAAGACCCATATTTGTTTCAAAAAACAATTTATGAGCCATCCTCTCAACTGTAGACATGTAGATTGTAAAGGAAATATGTTTTACATCAGCCAATAATTGCTGAGAGGTTTTCTCATCCTCCCTTCTCTCATGACAACATGCGCAGGAGTCCCATCACAAAGTAAAAAGAGAAGTTCATTGTGCGTCTTGAGTAATGCGCAGTAACGGGGTGTCGGAAATGATAACGGCGTTATAGTTACAGTCAAAGTAATTAGTTAGATTACTCCTTACTGAAAATAGTAACGCCGTTATTCCCATCACTGCTCCCGGCGCCTTGCCACCAAGGAGGCTGCCAACCACCTTGGTGACCTGGCCTTGGTGGCCAGGGAGATGGAAGCATCCGCCCCAACATCCTCAGCCTATGCCTCCAGAAAGGAGGACATGACGGGGGGATTGAGGAGAACGTCGAAGTACTTCTTCCATCGCCCGACAATATCCCCAGTCGAGGTCAGCTGTTCTCCACCTGCACCGTACTTAGTGTTGGCAAAGAACTGCTTCCCCCTCCTGAGGCGCCGGATGGTTTGGCAGAATCTCTTTGAGGCCGACCGATAGTCATGCTCCATGTACTCTGCCAACTCCTCCCAGTCCCGGGTTTTTGCCTCTACAACAGCTTAGTCTGCCGGTACTGGACAGCTGCCTCAGAAGTCCCACGAACCATCATGGCTCGGTAGGACTCCTTCTTCAGCCTGACGGCATCCCTTACTTCCTGTGTCCACCACCGGGTTCGGGGGTTGCCACCGGGACCATCACCAGAGACCTTGCGACCACAGCTGACAGGGCTAAGCGAGGCGTTCCCAGCAGACCCTCTTGGGCATGAACTGTGCTATAGAAATACATTCTGATTGACTGATTCAAATAAACAAATACATCAAACATCAATATTAGGGTGTAAATAAAACATTAGGGTGTAAATAAAACAGCTTCATAAAGGTGAATTCAGGCTTTTATGAGCTTTAAATTTAGATGAAATGAACAGGATTTTGGCTGAAGGATAATTGCTTATTTTCTCCCAAGCCTCATACTAATGCATGGATTTTAAAATGAAATATACATTCTGTAGTCTATGTAAGTGACCAAAAGAAATGAAATAAAAATCTATTTTCTGAAAATATGGATCTATTTCACTTTCCCAATTGATTTTAAAATCACATTTTTGGGCAGTCCCATTTTTAGCTTAGTTTATTTGTCCAACCTTGTTTGAAAACACAGCAATTGATTTTTACTTCAGCAAAGAAGTAAAAATAATGTTGATCGTTCATTGTACAGAAAGTTTACGTTTGATGTGGCACGTTACCTGGAGAAGGCTGCAGCAGATGTCCAGGTGAATCTCCATGGCTTGGTCCAGACTCCAGTTCCCAGAAGTCAGAGGGACGGCCCCCAGCTCCTCCTGTGAGGCTGACGGGCTGACGCCCATGCTTCTCAGGGGGCTCTCCTTAAACAAGCTGATTCTGTGGGGTTCAAAGAGCAAAATAAGTTTATACAAATAGCAACATGTCTGTTAATAAGTCTGTGGACTGCCCCGCCCGACCCGCCTGGGAGTGCTTCAGTCCTGCACCGGACCTGTCCACGTTCAGCGGCCACTGGTCCACGTTCTGTAGCTAGCTTAGGTCCTAGATCATTAGCCTGTCCGTCCGGAGGAGCGGATCCCTTTCTCAAATGGGTCTCCCTCCCTGTGGGTTTCCCTAGTTCTCCCCAAGGTTTCTCACTTTTTCCCACTGGGTTTTTTAAGAGTTTTTCCTTGTCGATGCAGGAGGGTCTTGTTGGACAGTTAGTGTCCAACAGAAAGAATTGGTGATGATCGGGACACTTTAGCATTCTACAACATGTATGGACATTTTCTTCTGTGTGTGCTTTATGTTCTTCATGTGTTTTAACTGTTGATTCTCTGACCTGTGTTGGTGATTTCAATGGTTTTGTTAAGTCCTCTGAGACGACTTCTGTTGTGACCTAGGGCTATACAAGAATAAATTGTATTGTATTGTATTGTAAAGCATGCCGCATTGTGTAAAATTCCAGGGACACCAATAATATTTCATGCGTTTGAAAAAAAAAAAAAAAAACATTTTATTTTTTTACCTAACCTATTTTACAGGTTATAGCTAGAACATGATCAAGCAGAACTGTAAAAACCCAGAAAGACCATTATGACAACACTGTTTGAAATGAAGCAAATTGCTACTATTTTACAATGATAAAGTCTTTTTGTATGGACTGACCCGCTGTCTTTGTGCCTGATGCTGCCCACACAGGAGGTGCTGTCGTCGTTTGCGTTCAAGTCATTGGATAAAAAGTCAAAACTGCCCAGAACCTCCTCCACAGCCAGGGTGTCCTCTGAGCATGCACTCCTCATTAGGGACAGGTCATTCTGGGACATGTCCACATAAGAACATGAGGGAACATAGTTAGCCTCATGAAGCACAATAAGAATAATTGTATACATGTCAAAAGTTAATTTGAATAATAATTAAATAACAGTTATAGTAAAAATGAAAACACCCCTATCAATCTAAACCTCCCTCCACCAATCGCAGACATTATCAGAATCGATACACCCAAAAAAACTCATGAACTGGAAGTCAAGGTCAAACATAAACATTGCATTCTGGAAAAATCAATATATCTCAACAAAAACCTCCCTGCACCACTCCAACCAATCCACAACAGAACCCTTCGGCGTCTGGTCATCCTTCATCACATCAATACACTCCAGCAATATATAATTCTATGATCTCAAAAACATATAACCACATATCCTCCTACCGAGAAATCAACTTAGGTGTGTTTTGTTTTGCTTCTCTCTCCACCTCACTCGTTTAGTTATTTGCCTTTTTGTTTACCTCTTCTACTATAATAAATAAGCTGCAACTGGACTATTATTTAATATTATTATTATTATTACTATTATTGTTATTGTTGTAATTATTATTATTATTAACATCATTATTCATGTATTAACTTTCCCCTCTGGATGGTAGTGGCAGTGGCTGTATCATTTCTGTTTATTTTATGTATTTATTCTCCCTATAATCAATTACCCTGATAACACCACTAATATCATAATTACCCCATTTCTTAATATATTATCATTGTCAGCATGGGGGCGACAGTAGCTCAGTTGGTAGAGCATTGGTCTTAAGGCCAGAAGGTCGTGGGTTCAATTCCCACCTCTGCACCTTCTCCATCAACTCTCACTGATGACTGCTGTTGTTGTGTCCTTGGGCAAGACACTTAACCCCACTTTGCCCAAAGCCCCCACTGAGTGCTCACACTCAGAGAGCAGCCGTCCTCCTGTCAATTAGTAAATATGTATTTGTATACATACACATATGCATACATAATAAAAGTAAAATAAATAAATAAGGAGTGGAAAAAAATAAATAAATAAGTAAACATCCCCCTGTCTGAGTTTTTAATGCACCACATTTCACAAATGTTTTTAATGCACTACACATACAGGCACGGTGGGAGATGGAGGGGCCAGACATATGGAAAGGGGTTCAAATTTCTAAATATGGTCTGAATATATCTATTTGGATAACCCTATATAATATAATTTCTATATTTTATATGTGTATTGTACACATATGATTTTTGTGTATGTATGTGTAGGTGCATGTGTTTATTCGTAGGTACAGATATGTATATATAGGTATATATCTGTATGTATAGATGTACTTTTTTTTTCTCTCTCCTCTTCTCTGCTGCCATTATTGCTGCCTCCAACAAGCCTTATAGTTTAAACACTTCATCCATAGCTACAAGCATATGCTTGTGTCTGGGTATATCGGTATTTGCATATCGTATTTTTTGTATATTTGATATCATTTATTTATCCTTATTATTATTATTCTTACTTGTCTCATTATGCATTTACTACGGTACTATTCCTTTATATAACTGCAATTCATCCCATGTCTTATCTACCTATAGGTTAAAAATTGCCAATATTCATCCAGTACTATGCTTATTATCTGTCCTTTTTGTTTTGTTTTTAATAATAATGTTGCACAGTGTGATGTCCCGCACACACACGCACATGTCACGCACACACACGCCCACACACACACACACACAATCTGCTGTATCCCTTAAAATATGTATCTACACATATTCTTGTTTGTTTGTTTGTTGAATGTATGTTACCTTGCAAAATCAAAAAGCTTAAAAAAAAAAAAAAGTAATAGTAATTAAAGCCGCAAGCGGCGATGAAAGGCCTCGCCCCTCTTGCGACCGCCTCCCGGGCGCCAGTCCCACAAGCGTCACGCGGTGTACTTGCCGACGAATTGGCAGCCCGATCTGACCAGGATTACGTATATAAAAGCTCATTTATATGATAAAGTGCGTCCCTAGTGGTCACCTCCGGGACATGCACCCTCTACGTAGAGTAGTATTTTGCTCGTACAGATGTAAAGATTTTATGTTGCAACTTTGGTGAAGATTGGAGAAGTTTAGGTCAGAAGCCTTCCATAGGTGGCGCTGTAGAGTCATATTAGGTGTGTGTTTTCACACCATTACTCTCAGGTCATTACCAACTGTTAGTGATGTGAGTTTCAGCTCTGTAGGTCTGAGCCTGTGGTCAGGAGAGCATCAAACATGGAGAAATTCCCCACTACCTCGCATGAAAACGATAACAAAATTCTAACTTTTATGCGATGATTGCATAACTTCAATCCGTCCAGATGGAGAAATGACATGGTAGAAGTCTGTGCGATGAAAATCCAGGGACTAGTACGAAGCCAAAAATGCAACACCTTGAACTGCCTGTAGGTGGCGCTGTTGCACTCACAGTTGTGTGTTGCATATTGTTGTGTTCAGGGTCATACGCTGTATTACTGAATTCATTTTTAGCCTCATCGGACAAACATTTTGCCCCAAAAAGCTCATTCAGTCACTTTACGGCGCCCCCAGTGGTCAGGTGTGGGACGTACAACTTTTGCGTAATGTAATGTTTTGCTCGTCTCGGTCCAGAGAATACACTCAGCGATTTTCGGGCCAATCCGAGCACTAGTGCCCTATTACTTTCCGACAGGTGGCGCTAAAGAGCTCAAATTGGGCGAATGATTTTAGTGTCATTGCGTTCAGGCCATAACCTAATATTACTGATGTGAGTCTCAGCTCTGTAGGTCTGAGCCTGTGGCCCTCAGGGCTCAGCGAAAATGGCCAAAACGAAGGCCTTATTCGCCATGGCGAGGGAAGAAAACGGTGAAGATTTTCTAACTTTTTGTTGATGATTATATAACTTCAATCCGTCCAGAGCGGGAAATGACGTGGTAGAACTCTGTGTGATGAAAAACCAGGGACTAGTTCGAATTTATAAATGAAAAGTCAAATTAGTGGCGAAACTTCGGCCCCTCATGGCCGACTTCCTGTTGGTCCCAGACATGTGCTTAGAACGGCTTTTATGCTCGTCTCATAGAGATCTATCACTCAGCCGAATTTTGTGTACCTACTCCAAAATATGCAATCCTGCCTCCAATAGAAATGGCAAATTTTGAATTTTCAAGGGGGCGCTATTGATTCGCCTTTTGTCGGACAATCTCGAAACGTTCATTTTATCAAATTTTTCGCCGAACCGGTCGTTTTAGACCCCCCATGTGCAGACTTTCGTGCATGTCCTCAGGGTCAAAAATCGAATTGAAGTTGCGGAAAAAAAATAAGAAAAAGAATAATAATTAAAGCCGCAAGCGGCGATGAAAGGCCTCGCCCCTCTTGCGACCGCCTCCCGGGCGCCGGTCCCACAAGCGTCACGCCGACGAATTGGCAGCCCGATCTGACCAGGATTACGTATATAAAAGCTCATTTATATGATAAAGTGCGTCCCTAGTGGTCACCTCCGGGACATGCACCCTCTACGTAGAGTAGTATTTTGCTCGTACAGATGTAAAGATTTGATTTTGCAACTTTGGTGAAGATCGGAAAAGTTTAGGTCAGAAGCCTTCAATAGGTGGCGCTGTAGAGTCATATTAGGTGTGTGTTTTCACACCATTACTCTCAGGCCATTACCAACTATTAGCGATGTGAGTTTCAGCTGTGTAGGTCTGAGCCTGTGGTCAGGAGAGCATCAAACATGGAGAAATTCCCCACTACCTCGCATGAAAACGATAACAAAATTCTAACTTTTATGCGATGATTGCATAACTTCAATCCGTCCAGATGGAGAAATGACATGGTAGAAGTCTGTGCGATGAAAATCCAGGGACTAGTACGAAGCCAAAAATGAGACACATTGCACTGCCTGTAGGTGGCGCTGTTGCACTCACAGTTGTGTGTTGCATATCGTTGTGTTCAGGGTCATACGCTGTATTTCTGAATTCATTTTTAGCCTCATCGGACAAAGATTTTGCCCCAAAAAGCTCATTTATTCACTTTACGGCGCCCCCAGTGGTCAGGTGTGGGACGTACAACTTTTGCGTAATGTAATGTTTTGCTCGTCTCGGTCCAGAGAATACACTCAGCGATTTTCGGGCCGATCCGAGCACTAGTGCCCTATTACTTTCCGACAGGTGGCGCTAAAGAGCTCGAATTGGGCGAATGATTTTAGTGTCATTGCGTTCAGGCCATAACCTAATATTACTGATGTGAGTCTCAGCTCTGTAGGTCTGAGCCTGTGGCCCTCAGGGCTCAGCGAAAATGGCCAAAACGAAGGCCTTATTCGCCATGGCGAGGGACGAAAACGGTGAAGATTTTCTAACTTTTTTTCGATGATTATATAACTTCAATCCGTCCAGATTGGGAAATTACGTGGTAGAACTGTGTGTGATGAAAAACCAGGGACTAGTTCGAATTTCTAAATGAAAAGTCAAATTAGTGGCGAAACTTTGGCCCATCATGGCCGACTTCCTGTTGGTCCCAGACATGTGCTTAGAACGGCTTTTATGCTCGTCTCATAGAGATCTATCACTCATCCGAATTTCGTATACCTACTCAAAAATTTGAAAAAAAATCCCCAGAGGGTCAAAAAAAATGAAATTTCTAGGGGGCGTTATAGAGTCGGCGAGCGTCGGACAATCTGGAAACGTTCATTTTATCAAATTTTTCGCCGAACCGGTCGTTTTAGACCCCCCATGTGCAGACTTTCGTGCATGTCTTCAGGGTCAAAAATCGAATTGAAGTTGCGGGAAAAAGAAAAAGAATAATAATATGAAACCGGTGAATAACAATAGGCCTCCCCAATACTTCGTATTGGCTCGGCCTAATAATATGAAACCGGTGAATAACAATAGGCCTCCCCAATACAAAGTATTGGCTCGGCCTAATAATAATTAATGCTGCAAGCGGCGTCGAACGGCCCTAGCCACACCGCGCGACCCCCTGCACCGCACTACTTCCCTCACCGCACCGCTCCCCGCCGCTCTCCACCGCTCTCCACAACGGCGGGCTCTCCGCCACTCCCCGCAATGCGCCGCTCTCCGCCACTCCCCGCAACGCGCCGCTCCCCGCACCGCGCCACTACCCGCACCACGCTGCCCCGCAACACGCTGCCCCGCAACACGCCACCCCACACCACACCGCCCCACACCATGCCGCCCCGCGATATGACGAACCACGCCGCACCGTGCATCGGAGGTGGCGCCGCTGAGCCATGTGTTTTCCCGTAGCCATAGAAGATCCATCCATCCATCCATTTTCTACCCTTTAATCCATTTCTGGGTCAGGGGGGTGGCAGTCAGAGATGCCACCCAAGTCACATAGCACCAGCCCCTCACTGACCCTCTGCAGGTGGTGAGTCTACAGGAGGACGGCTACTCTCTGAGTGTGAGCAGAGCCTTGATCTTTCAGTGGGGGCTTTAGCCATAGAATGTTTGTGAATTTGTAATGAATATGATCAGTTGAGTTGGTTTGGCTCCCCATGTTAAATTTTGCCTCAGTCTGTAGGGGGCGGTAATGGGCCAATTTCACATATTTCACTTGAACAAGTATTCAAGTTTTGTGCAAATTAGACTTTGTTTGTAGAAACGGGAGCAAATTTGCTAATGTCAAAAATGGGAATAAAAATTCCATTGTTTGCCGCTCTGCTGCTCGAACAACTTTTCACTGATCAAAATTTCCTAAAGTCATTTTGAAGGTACATGTGTTGAGATGATGTGGAGCGTTTTTGAGGCCAATCGGTGAAACGACCGAGGAGGAGTCGCTTTCCAAACAACCCATCATTGCTTTACATTTTTCAATTTTTTTCACTGAAATGTATGGGCTTCCTGTTTGTCAAGGGGCGTGGCCATAATAACTTTGTTTTCATGTCTTGACTTGAGGAATATGTGTACCAAATTTCATGGCTCTATGACAAACTTGACCTCGAACCCCTCCCATCCTAAAAACTTTGACCCCATCTGTAGGGGGCGCTAATGAGCCAAGTTCAATTATTTCACTTTCAAATGACCTAGACCCTAGAGGTAAACAATGTATTAACATTTTGTGCAAATCAGACTTTGTATATGCAAACGGGAGCAAATTTAATAGTGTCAAAAACGGCCAAAAAAAACGATGTGTTTAGGCCAACATGCACTGGGAAAAGGTCAGATTGTCAACCAGGTATGCGTACACAGCAGAGGGATCCCGGACTCCATACCTCTTGGTGAGATGATGTTCTACGTCCCCATAGCCATAATAAGTAGCAACAATGTATGACTTTTGTCAGGTAAATACAGAGGCCAGTCTAAATTCTACCAGTTTAAATACCTTGAGTATGGTGGCCAGGTGCAGCAGATGATGGTCCAATGCTTTCAGCTCTTTCTCTGATTTTCTGTTCTCTGTGTTGTTCTGTAGGCTTTCCTCCAGATGAGTGATGAGCGCCCCCACTCTGTGGGACAGGGCTCTGCGCTGGACCGCACTCACAGCTTTATCAGTGTCTGTGAGTGTGAGTGCTTTGGATTGTGGGGGCTGAGGCAAAGAGAAGGACTCAGCATCAGCTGAAACCTGCAATACAAGGGATGTGATGGGAAGTAACACCACACTAAAATTAAAATATGACAACATAATGTCTGTTCTTGGACAATCTGAAATAACTCAACCTGAGATGTTAAAGGACTGACACATTCTGCTTCTCCCACAGTGCTCTTCCTCAAAATGTCCGGAGTGCTGCTTCTGGAGACAAAAAATAGGAATATATGCTTCAAATACATATTAGTGATTGAAAAAATCAACACTAAAACAAGCACTTTAAAGAAGCAATATGTAATAAAAATCTGGCAAAAAGTGGTACTGCAATCACGGTCAATATTCTGTAGTCCTCTCCCTGACTCAGATTGCCAGATATGCAGACGAATCCAGCTGGGATCATAATAGCTAGACACGAGTTTTGTCAACAACAATTCTATAGCCAACACCTTTTCCCACAGAAATTAGGCTAATTTAGGTTGAAATACGTCTGTATGCAATATAACAATGGAGCCCACTATACGCAAACACAAGGAATTATTTTATCGAGTTGTTTTTCTGTCCTCATACGTTTCACATTGCCATGATAGCTAATGTTGGAACATACAGTATTTCTTCAGTGAATCAGCATCAGGGTTTCCTCCAGAGGGGGGGATCAGTCCCCCCCTAGCCAGGGCCCTAGGACAATTTTTTTTAATTCCCTATTTTTTTTTAGACATACAGTACATGTATACAAGTCCCACATCAAAAAGAGACTAACATTATTTTCATAGGGATAAATCTGGTGTCATAAAATGTTTTTTTCTGAATAAAAAAAAAGTTTATCTACCATTTATGCTTAATGGTGAAATTGTCATTATTATTGACCATATAAACACCAAGGACCAAATGAAAGATTAGGCTCTTTGTTTTAGGCCCTGTCCACACGAAGTCAAGCTCAGGCCTAAACGCAAAAATACTTTATCAATCCAGTGTATCGTCCATACGAGGCCGGCGTTTTGGGGGGGTGTAAACGAACATTTTTGAAACCAGGTCCCAGAGTGGAAAGATTTCAAAACTCCGTATATGCCGCTCCGTGGTTACTGCCTCTCCGCAATGTATCTGAGACGCTTGCGTCATCGCCCCGCCTCTTGTTAAAGCACGCATGCGCCGCACTCAGAAAATAATGACAACAACAATGTAGCTTGTTGGTTTTGTAATCCAGTGTGACCCGAAGCAACAGTTCAACCTCATCGTCCGTTCATACTAATGTAGTACCAGCTCGCCCTCTCGCCATGTTGTCTGTTTACAAAATTCCGCGCATGCCCACGGAAGTTTGGGCTTGATCCCGTCATTGCGTCACAGCGCCACCAACAGGTCTGGCATAGTTTCACAGCGTTTTCAGGCGTATTGACTACATTCATATGGACGCACACATTTACTGAGCTAACTCCGTGTTTACAGAAAAAGTTTCTGAAATTATAAGCGTTTTGTCTTCGTGTGGATATAGCCTTAATCTGCAAAAAACATTTTGTTTTTACCCTTCTTGAGAAATCTGTCATAGAACATAATATAGTTTCACCCAAAACAAACCCAAACCCGGGTCACTGCGGGGAAAGCGCTGTATCATAACCACTTGACCACCACCCCTCCAATTGTCTCCATTTTTCAAAGGCATCCCCTATATAAATCTTTGTTTTATTCTTTGTTTTGTCATTAATGTTTTGAGAATCATAAGACCGTTTTTAGTACTGACAGTGAGATTAGCTACTTTCAAATATCTCGGCTGAACGACAGTTAAAGAACTATTCAAAAAGAGCTGGGAGAAAAAAAGAGAGAGATGGTTTATTGATGCCTTTTGACATATTAGGGCCATTTAATGATGACTTGACATGCAAATCTTACATAATGCTAATATAATGTTTAATAACTTCAATATGTATTCAGAAAAGATACAAAGAAGAATGTCACAAAGAAGAATGTCACACAGATTAGTGGCCGTTGGAAATAAGGTCTGACCTGTCCAATACCAGCAGTGATCCGCTGGTGCTGGGGTCAGGGGTAGTAACCTCACTCCTCTGGCTGCTCACTGGGGACTCCCTCACAGGGCCTCTGTCTAGGGATAGCTGTGAGCGGCTTTCCCCCAGACTGGTGCCAGCACTGGGACTGGACGGGAAACTGTGAGTCCTGGTCAGGCTGGGGGAGGCACATGTTTATTTACATGGAAAGAGTATGGAAAGATTACACTGTTTGGAGTAGATACTTGCAATAGAATAGCATCTACCACCATATGCAACATATTCTCAATATCATACAATCATTTTCCATTTAACTCCCTCTCCAGACTTCAAAATGTTTGCTTCCACCTTGAGATGTATTGATGTGGAATTTGTGTTTTTGAACCATATAATTTTCACTAGATTACTTTGAAATAAAACAATACAAGTTCCAAATGCATCCCATGGATCTATTATATTAACTGGAAAGGGTATTACTAGCTTGTAGCTGAAGAACTCATGTGCTTGGGGGATTCTCGCGGTACTGCAAACTAAACCAGACTAAATTCACGTGGGCTACCCAGAAATTTTCCCCATAGAACTCAATGTAATTAAAACAGCGCGACCTTAGCTGACAGAGAACCTACAGCTTTCATAAATGTCTGATTTTTTGCGGTTTTTAGTGTCCCTTGTCATCCTGAACTTTTTTTCTTCTTAAATCCTTCGGTTCACTTTATTGCCACAAACTCTGCCCGTCTGGCTCTCGCTCTAACTCCCGCTCTGATGAACTGCTCAGATTGATCAGAGCGCGGCCGAGCCCCTCTGTGCACGTCCGTGAGACCCATGTGAGACCCACACACGCGTATTTGGCGCAACGTATCATGGGAGAGAGCGCAACGCATCATGGGAGTTCATCTACAGTGCAGAACCGGGAGGACCAGACGATGCCCAAATACAGGTGAGTTTCCCATGGAGTTTCCCATGGAGTTGCAGGTAACTTCCGCTAATCTTTTCGACACCCATGCCTGCACAAAGCGCCACTGGGCACAACCATTCACTTGAATACGGCGCCATCTTGGATCGCCGGGGCTTGGAACATCCAAACACCTCCCCTTATAGACATGTACAGATGAGTTTCCCTGAGCCTACTAAGCAAAAAAATGCTTCATGCATGAAGTGAAGATTTACAGTGCCTTGCGAAAGTATTTGGCCCCCTTGAACCTTTCAACATTTCGCCACATTTCAGGCTTCAAACATAAAGATATAAAAATTAAATTTTTTGTCAAGAATCAACAAGTGGGACACAATCGTGAAGTGGAACGAAATTTATTGGATAATTTAAACTTTTTGAACGAATAATAAACTGAAAAGTGGGGCGTGCAATATTATTCGGCCTCTTTACTTTCAGTGCAGCAAACTCACTCCAGAAGTTCAGTGAGGATCTTTGAATGATCCAATGTTGTCCTAAATGACTGATGATAAATAGAATGCACCTGTGTGTAATCAAGTCTCCGTATAAATGCACCTGCTCTTTGATAGTCTCAGGGTTCTGTTTAAAGCGCAGAGAGAACCAAGAAGACAAAGGAACACACCAGGCAGGTCCGAGATACTGTTGTGGAGAAGTTTAAAGCCGGATTTGGATACAAAAAGATTTCCCAAGCTTTAAACATCTCAAGGAGTACTGTGCAAGCAATTATATTGAAATGGAAGGAGTATCAGACCACTGCAAATCTACCAAGACCCGGCCGTCCCTCCAAACTTTCATCTCAAACAAGGAGAAGACTGATCAGAGATGCAGCCAAGAGGCCCATGATCATTCTGGATGAACTGCAGATAACTACAGCTGAGGTGGGAGAGTCTGTCCATAGGACAACAATCAGTCGTGCACTGCACAAATCTGGCCTTTATGGAAGAGTGGTAAGAAGAAAGCCATTTCTCACAGATGTGGGACATGGCCTTTTAATGCACCCTTGTTTTTATTGCATGTTTTTATTAGATTTGTGTTATGCAGTAATGTGTCATTACTGCATGACTTCATTGATCGTTTTTATTTAACGCATGATTTTATTGGGTATGTGTTGAAGTTATGTGTGCGGTGTAATGGAGTGCAGGCCCACCCACAAGTCTGTCATTGGCACTGCGCACCTGCGGTACATGTAGGACAATTATGACAGACTTTAAAAGTGCTGGGAGGACATAGGGGCGCAAAAAGAAGGAAAGGGAAAAGGCACGGGAGCCACAGCGCCGCGGGACGAGCCACAGCGCAGCGATACGAGAGAGCAGAACACGGGGCGGCACAGCACACTACCGGGACCTGGACCACAGTAATCGCCTTCGCCTCACGAGTCCACAGAGAACACCACGAAGCTGAACTACCGCAGAAGGCAGAGGACGCTCTGCCTTTGCGTGTAAGTATCTTAACACATTGAGTAGTGGTGTTCATGAAGTAGCCTTTGGCGGGGGGACTCTTTGGGGTGTGTGTGCGCTTTCTGTTTGGTTGTGCTCTGCCTCCAGGGTCCGTGGTAAAAGCTCGGCCTCGCTGGACCCGGCTCGCTAGAAGAACCTCGGCTGACCAGCTACGCGTTGGGACCTGTTTTTAATTGACCATTTTAATCTCTTCTTGCACTGACTGGTTTTATGGCACTCGCCTGCTCATTTTAACATTTTTTTATTGTAATAAATCTTTTTTATCGTAGCACCTGGTTTATTTTGCACTGCTCACTCCAGTGATTTTATACCTGTGTTTTAAAATAGGTCCTAGGTCCTCAACCTAGGTGGCGTTGCTGACCTTTCAACTTATAATTTGGTTTAATGATAAATTAATTTATTCCTTCCCTCGGTCACACAGATATCCATAAAAAGTCTTGTTTAAAGCGTTTGCCACAAGCCACCTGGGAGACACACCAAACATGTGGAAGAAGGTGCTCTGGTCAGATGAAACCAAAATCGAACTTTTTGGCCACAATGCAAAACGATATGTTTGCCGTAAAAGCATCACAGCTCATCACCCTGAACACACCATCCCCACTGTCAAACATGGTGGTGGCAGCATCATGGTTTGGGCCTGCTTTTCTTCAGTAGGGACAGGGAAGATGGCTAAAATTGATGGGAAGATGGATGGAGCCAAACACAGGACCATTCTGGAAGAAAACCTGTTGGAGTGTGCAAAAGACCTGAGACTGGGACAGAGATTTATCTTCCAACAGGACAATGATCCAAAACATAAAGCCAAATCTACAATGGAATGGTTCACAAATAGACGTATCCAGGTGTTAGAATGGCCAAGTCGAAGTCCAGACCTGAATCCAATCGAGAATCTGTGGAAAGAGCTGAAGACTGCTGTTCACAAACGCTCTCCATCCAACCTCACTGAGTTCGAGCTGTTTTGCAAGGAAGAATGGGAAAGAATTCCAGTCTCTCGATGTGCAAAACTGATAGAGACATACCCCAAGCAACTTGCAGCTGTAATTGCAGCAAAAGGTGGCGCTACAAAGTATTAGCGCAAGGGGGCCGAATAATATTGCACGCCCCACTTTTCAGTTTTTTATTTGTTAAAAAAGTTTCAATTATCCATTAAATTTCGTTCCACTTCACGATTGTGTCCCACTTGCTGTTGATTCTTGACAATTTTTTTTTATTTTTTATATCTTTATGTTTGAAGCCTGAAATGTGGCAAAATTTTGAAAGGTTCACGGGGGGCGAATACTTTCGCAAGGCACTGTATGTCCTGCTCATGATGGCACTTCTAATTTTCCTCACACGTTGTGGTGCATCTATAGAGCAGTTGATGTTGCAGAGACTGATCCACATGTCATTTGTTACATAAGAGGCCTTATTCTTAAAATAATACATTTATTTTTTGTGTAAACCCGAATCACACTTATATAGAAGTTGAACTAAAAACACCTACAGCGCAAGCTCGAAGATTGAGGAGGAGGCGGGGATTGCAAGGCAAGTTTCTTTTCTTTTTTTAAACTGCCAGCTTGATTGGTAGGGAAGTTGGCAGCGCTGTGTGATAGGCTGAGGGAAGAAAATATCCTTCTAGATAGAAATTATGAGAATTTTTCTTTAAGAACCATCTAATCAGCTATAGTTTGTACACATAAACTGCTTAATTCCTTAAACATTAGCAGTGTTCAAGTTTAGTTTGAAAAGCCATTGTGTATAATTGTACTTACATGGGTGTGCTGCTGCTGTGTGGCCTGTGACCGGACGGTATGGAGGCCTGTGATTGGTGGGACAAGTAACTGAGCAGAGACTCGCCTCCTCGAGTGGGGCGGAGCTTCGGCACCAGTGAGGGCAATGACCCCTCAGCATCCTGAAGGTCTCGGACCATAGACTGCAATGCAACATTTTCAACAACCTCCGTGGATGTAGCAATTAATTATATTTAAACATAATGATTAATAACACCACAGTGGGCGGCTGCGGCTGCCAAAACTGTTTTTGTGACACTGCACCCATGTTGCCTGAAATGAGTCTGGTGTGTGTGTGTGAATGGTTGGTGGTGGTCGGAGGGGCTGATGTCCCAAACTGGTTGCCTCAATTTTGCCATGGTGCCCCAGGGCAGTTGTGGCTACAGTAGTAGTTTATCACCACTGTGAATGAATATAATCATGTGGTCACATGATAATATTCATTCACTTTATACACTACTTTCATTTATGAAACTTGCACAGAAAAGGGTGCATATTTTTGGTGATGATTGCAAATACGCAGGATCAAACGCGGGATTTATGAATGTGTGAGATCCGCCCACATCTGAGCGTATGCAGCCGCGACTGTTAATAAATGCAGCGCTCAAAACTAGCGTATTTATGAAAGTCACGCCTAAAAATATTCAGAATCCGCCTGTTTCACGCCCTGTTTTTACCATAGGTCAGCATGGAAGTCGGCCAGCAAGACTATTTGGAAGCCTCAAAAGGCACTCCTGAGTTTATTATGCTTTTATTTTATTATTTTGTTTAAAAATAAATATATGCTATATTATATGTACACGTTTTTTCCCCTAGTGGTGAGACCCACTGCAGCAATCATCTCTCTTGAACTTTAGAAGTGAGTGAATGAATGAATGAATGTTAATATCTCTGCCTCAGCGGTGGCTCTCACCATTAACCAGGTGAAGCGTCAGCGGCATCTTCTTGTGAATGCAATGGAGCGATCTCTGTGAGAGAGAAAGTATGCGTATGAGAAGCTTTTGGGAAGTGTCTATGGTTTCACAGAGGAACTCTGGATCCAAAACGTCTGAATGACACGCACCACATTCGAGGAGTTATAGCAGGGACCTCTCGTGGCACCCACTGCGCACTGCCCAAGCGATGAGCGCGTTGCCATCCTATCTATAAACTGCTACATGCGGAGTACAGGGCAGTGGCTGAGACAGTTTTGAGTGAGCAAGACCACCGTTTATGGGGCTTTATGCACAAAACTAATGAAAAAACACATTGCTTTGCCAGAGATGAATGAGGCAAAACAAATAGTCCTGCATAATTACGCAGCGCAGGGCCTGCCACAGAGTTAAAGAGAAATAGATGGGTCACACATTAAGTAAGTTAGTAAGTAAGTGTATTTGTATAGCGCCTTTCACAGTCCAGGATCACAAAGCACTTCACATTTAAAAAAACAAACAAATGAAAATTGGGGCGACAGTAGCTCAGTTGGTAGAGCATTGGCCTTTGAGCCAGAGGGTCGTGGGTTCAAGCCTGACCTTCACCATCGACTCCCACTGAGGCAGAGGCTGAGGATGTTGGGGCGGATACTTCTATCTCCCTGGCAGAGGTCACCAAGGTGGTTGGCAGCCTCCATGGTGGCAAGGCGCCGGGAGTGGATGAAATCCGTCCTGGCTATTTAAGGTTTCTGGATGTTGTAGGACTTTCTTGGCTGACACGTCTCAACATCGCGTGGCGATCAGGGGCGGTGCCAATGGAGTGGCTGACCGGGGTGGTGGTCCCTCTCTACAAGAAGGGGGATCGGAGGGTGTGTTCCAATTATCGTGGAATCACACTCCTCAGCCTCCCCGGAAAGGTCTACTCCAAGGTACTGGAGAGGACCTTGATTGTCGAATCTCGGATTCAGGAGGAGCAGTGTAGTTTTCGTCCCGGTCGCGGAACACTGGACCAGCTCTCCACTCTCCATCGGATACTCAAGTGTTCATGGGAGTTCGCCCAACCTGTCCACATGTGCTTTGTGGATTTGGAGAAGGCGTTCGACCGTGTTCCCCGGGGTGTCCTTTGAGGGATCTCCGGGAGTATGGGGTCCGGGGTCCTCTGTTGAGGGCTGTCCGGTCCCTCTATGACCGGAGTCAGAGCTGTGTTCGTATTGCCGGCAGTAAGTCTGACCTGCATGTTGGCCTCCGCAAGGGCTCCCCTTTGTCATCGGTTCTGTTCACTGTATTCATGGACAAAATTTCTAGGTGCAGCCAGGGGTCGGAGGGGGTCCGGTTCGGGGACCACAGGATTTCATCTCTGCTGTTTGCGGACGATGTTGTCTTGTTGGCTCCAACGAACCAGGACCTGCAACATGCACTGGGACGGTTTGCAGCCAAGTGTAAAGCGGCTGGGATGAGAATCAGCACCTCCAAATCCGAGGCCATGGTGCTTGACCGGAAAAAGGTGCCTTGCCCTCTCCGGGTGGGTGGAGAGGTCCTTCCTCAAGTGGAGGAGTTCAAGTATCTCGGGGTCTTGTTCACGAGTGAGGGAAGGATGGAGAGTGAGATAAACAGGGGGGTCGGTGCAGCATGCGCTGTGATGCGGTCGCTGTATCGGACCGTCGTGGTGAAGAGGGAGCTGAGCCGAAAGGCAAAGCTTTCGATTTACCAGGCAAACTTCGTTCCCTCCCTCACCTATGGTCATGAGCTGTGGGTAATGACCGAAAGAACGAGAACGCGGATACAAGCGGTCGAAATGAGCTTCCTCCGCAGAGTGGCTGGGCGCTCCCTTTGAGATAGGGTGAGGAGCTCGGTCACACGGGAGGAGCTCGGAGTAGAGCCGCTGCTTCTCCACGTCGAGAGGAACCAGTTGAGGTGGCTCGGGCATCCGTTCCGGATGCCTCCTGGACGCCTCCCTGGGCAGGTGTTCCGGGCACGTCCCACCGGGAGGAGGCCCCGGGGAAGACCCAGGACACACTGGAGGGACTTGTCAAGTTGTCTTGTTCTCTCAGCTGGCCTAGGAGCGCCTTGGGGTCCCCCCGGACGAGCTGGAGGAAGTGTGTGTGGATAGGGAAGTCTGGGCGTCTCTGCTTAGACTGCTGCCCCCGCGACCCGGCAACGGATGAAGCGGAAGAAAATGGATGGATGGATGGGTTGAGTTTATATTTGGGTCACTCACTGCTGATGTTCAGATTTTACTTCATGGTGCTATGCCCCTTAGGCTACGCTATGGGTGACTCCTGAGGCACCTCGCCCCCTCCAGAGAAATCTTAGATCGATTGCTCCAATCACGAGCCAGCTCCTCCGATAAATAGCCCCGCTCAGGCCTGCACCTGCCACTTTGAACTCTGCCGCCGAGAGGTCTGAAGAATCGAGATGTCGCTGCCTTCTGATGTTTGTCCGAGTTCCCCGTCGCCATCCGGACAAAGAAGGTGCGGCGGGTGCCAGGCCAAGCTTCACCGAAAGGACCAGCACGACGCTGTTTCGTCTGTCTGGGCTGGCGTCATTCAGAGGAGAGCGCTGCCTGCAGAGCCTGCCTTGCTCTCCCCAGGGAGGAGAGAGAGCGCCGCTATGGAAGATTTTTTGTGTCATCAGATTTAGAATTTTTTTAAGCTTGAATTTTTCCCTTTGAAATTTTAAACCCTGAAAAAGAATGTTTGAATATTTTTATCTTTGCATTTCAGTCACAAAAAATTCAGATTACAAATTTCAATGTGAATAAATTTTCAAAATGACACATTCACCCTCAAAATATTCAAAAAAACAAAATCTATGTAAAATAAAAAAGACGGATTATTTGTTCCATCAGAAATTGAATTTTAAATGGACCTGAATTCATCTATTTGAATGTTTTTAACATCGTAAACATTTTTGTCTGTGAATTTCAGTCACTGATTATCAATTTCATAATGTTAAATTCAACAGTCTAAATTCAACGCAAAAAATTCAACACGAAAAATTCAACGCAAAAAATTCAATGTGAAAAATTCAACGCGGAAAATTCAATGGTGAAAAATGGACATGACACATCCGGTGTTCTGACGAGTTGTGTGCTCTGTTGGTCTGCGCATGTGTCATTTTACTGAGGTAAAGACAGGCGTAGCTTTCAGCAGGTCTATCGGTTGATAACATGAATCTAACAGGTTGATATGGGATTTCTAATGAATGGATTGTAATGAATCCAAGGCGAATAACAAGATGATACTACAATAATTTGATGAGTTAGTCTTTTGAACATTTTGGGTGAATGTGCTTGTTGCAAATCATTATTGCTGTATATTCCTGTTTATTTATTTAGGCTGTGTGTGTTTGTTTGTGTTTAGGGAAACCATCACATGTTGAACATTTATAGCAACGACAGTGTTATTGTTGGTAGCGTTACACAGTATTTCGGTGTATCAGGTGCAGCGTTAGTTTCCCGTGTAGCAGTTTCCACAGGGCTCACTCGTGTTACTTTAAAAAGAGCAAACACTCCCACGGGACTCTATGTAAAGGAATAAACAAAAAACATGTATTCCACAGCTTGAACTCTTGTACACTAAATGATATTTGCTGAGTTGTCTCTGAAATAAAGTAACAACGGTAAGAAAACCGTATGGCTCCTTATTTCTTGAGCTGTGAAAAGTTACGTGCTCTTTCGGCTCCACTCGCTCCGTAAACAAAGCGAAACCTCTCTCTCTCTCTTAAAGTGACGGTAACGTAAATATTCTAAGTTAACAAAATCCTTAGTTCTAAAGGGTCGGGGTGGTGGCAATTAGCTGCCACCCAATTCCCAGAGCACTGATCCCCCTGCTCCTCACTGCTCCTCCTGCTCCTCACGGCTCCTCCTGCAGGTGGAGGGTCCAGAGAAGGCATCTCTGTCACTGAGAGGACAGCCTTGATTGTTCAGCGGGGGCTTACGTCAAATATTAATCAAACAAAGAACGCTAGATAGCAGTTTTTAAAAACATACAAACAAATTGTTAACACTCTCTAGAGTTTGTGCTACATGCAAAATAGCAAACTACCTAAACTTAGCTTGGCTCCCACACCCCTATGTTTTCATTTGCAGTTAAGATGTATCTAATCCACATCGAAGCAAAGTATAACTTCAACTGTTAGAACTTTAAACTAACATAAATATGTCCATAGTAACGGAGAGACATAATAGATTCCAAATTCAGAAAAAACAGAGTTCATTTGCTTATGCGCAG